AGAAATAGTCCAAACCACAACAATTCAATCAAATTTATCAAGGAAAAGTTAAAGGCAGCCCAGGATCGACAGAAAAGCTATGTGATAAGCGTAGGAGAGATTTGAATTTCAAGTTGGGGACATGGTATTTTTACGAGTTTCACCATGGAAGGGTTCCTTAAGATTCGGGAACGGGGCAAGTTAAGCGAGGTAATTGGTCCATATGAGATTCTGGAGAGGATTGGAGCTGTAGCGTATCAGTTGGCGTGCCACCGGAGTTATCCAGGATCCATGATGTATTCCATGTCTCTATGCTTTGCACAATATATACCTGACCCATCCCATGTGTTCAGCAACAATTGATCCAGTGGGGTGACTTGACTTAGAGGAGCGTCCAGAGCGGATTTGATTGGAAGCGGCAAGAGTTGCGCACCAGGACCATCCCTTGGATAAAGGTTAAATGGAGTAAATACATTAGCAAGAGAGGAAGCAACTTAGGAGCAGCAGAAGAAGATATGCGAGACAATATCCCGAGTTTTTTTAACCAGGCGTAAAAAAAAAAAAAAACAAATTTCGAGGACGAATTCCTTAAGGGGGAAGATTGATACTCGTATTTTCTTGTGGGTTTTATAATTTATTATGTGAATCTAGGGGTTAATATGTAAGATTGAAACTTTTAGAGATGTTTTAGTAGAAATAAGGCATGGTGGGTTATTAGGTAGTTTTGCAAGAGTACTTGTGCGAAATTGGAAGTGTGAAAATCTTTTAAAACTTATGAAATTGATTAAGATGAAGGGTCCTTTAATATTGTGTCATGCAAGGGTACATGCATAATTCTCCAGGGGTGAGATCTGATATAAACTAACTTTATTTAAAGGATTTTGGGGTGCAAGATGTAGAATCAAAGACTAAGGGATGCATGCATAATTAGCCATTGCAAGATGGATTAAAGGCTTTAGGAGAATTAGCCACGGTTTTGGCACATTGTTTTGCCATGATGGTTGTGAATTTTATTAATTTGAGATGAGGAATGGTGGAGTGGAAAAAGAGAGATAGCCGAGAAAAAGAAAAGAAAGAGAGAAAGGAAGAGAGAGAAGGGAGAAAAGAAGAGAGAAAAGAAGGAAGAAGAGAGAGAGAACGTTCAGCCGAAGGAGGAAGGGAAAGAAAAGATAAATGAGGGAGAGAAAGTGAGGTGAAGAGAAGGATGATGCTTGGGGTAGCTGGGTATTTGGTCGGTGAGCTAAATTTTTGTTGAGTGGATTAACCACAAAAGTGTTTTAAAAACTCATTCCTGTTTGCATGTAAAGTGTTGATTTCTATTATAGTGTTTGATCCAAATTTTGGTGTGATATCTTGTTAAATCTGCCTTGATGTGCTGGCGATGACTTTAAAGTGCTGCATGTCCAGTTTCGATTCTAGCACCATGTCTTGAGAAATCTGGAATTTTTGTGAGTGGAAAATGCATTGAATCCTTTCTAAAGTTTGCATTTTTCAAGTTGATGGTACTGATGTTTATTGTTTCACGCATTTAAAGTTATGTGTAAGTTGATTATTTGGAGTATTGTTTGTACCCTAGAGATGAGTTGGGATGTTGTTGATTTGAAGAGTAGATGGAGAAAGGTATAAAATGGGAGAATTAGAAATGCTGAACTTGGCATGCATGTGTGCATTTTATGCATATACATAATGTTTGTGGATAGAAAAGAAATTATGGGAAGTTGTATGTTGGATATGGTGGTTGACTATTGTGGTTAACTGAAATTGGAGATTTAATGCAATAGTTTTATACGGATAGAGCATATATGTTGATCCTAAGAACCAAGAGTTATTAAAGTATGTTTTTGGTTATAAAAAGTTATGCTGTGAAATTCGACAGCCTAAACTTCTGAAAATTTTATATATGTTTCGGGTTTGTAAATGAAGCTAAATTTCAGATATTTTGTTTTAGACTTATTAGAGATTGGTTGAAAATTGATTTCACCAAAATTCGAAGTATGGGATTCTTTTTAATGAATTTTGAATTCTGCTATGAAATTTGGAATTTCATGTTTTCTGTAGAGCATGCATTTTTCAGAACTGAAATATGCATCTATACTTATCCAAATTGAGTGATTTTAAATTCTGGTGAACTCTATATGTGTCTAGTTTAATTCTGGAGAGTTTCATGAGGTTTAGATTAAGATCTGAATTGTTATGAATTTTACAAGTAGTAACCTCAATTCTGGAAACAGTTGGCAGATTTAAATGAGTTGAAAGAAAAATTGTGTTTTAAATAGTTATTGATTCTGAAATGACTTGAAAATATTACTGGATCAACATATATTTGCTTGAATGCCCCATTGAAATTGTAGCTTGATTTGGTGAGTGGATTAAACCAAATCTTCTTCCAAATCCTTAAATCCATGCTTGCATGTTAACTTGTGATTTTACTTTAAATGTTTGATGAAGTTTGGTATAATCTTACGATTAGTGTCGGACATATGCTATGGTAATGTGATGTTGAAATAATTTTTAATCTGGGTTAAACTGTCAGTTTTAAAACATGTTTGGAAATTTTCAATTTCACCCCTAGATGTGATTTTTGAATGTTATGTCATTATGCATGATATTATTAGTTTGACTCCCGGATTGGAAACCGTAACCGTCCCCTCTAGACATCAGCTAGTATTTGATATTTATCCTCATGCGCGCATGAGATGGTCCGTCCTACCGAACCATGGTATATCCTACTAGAACAGACGGACGCCTGACAGCTCCAGGCGGGATTACACCAAGCGGTTATTGGCGGTGTGGGATTTTGGACGCCCCGAGGGTAGATTGTGGGCGAGATTATATTTGATACCATATCATGACACCCCGAGGGTAGACTGTGGGTTGAGCATGGTTATCCAATGATGTTCGTACCATCCCGAGGGTAGACTGCGGATGGTGCACTTGAGGGTAGACTGTGGGTGGTGTAGCTTCATGTTTGAGTTAGGGACTGGTTCAGATAGTTATGATCTGGCCCCTGAGGGCTAGTAGGGTGGTGATAATTGATTTATTTTATATGATAGTGGTGTGTGATTTCATGGCATCCGATAGAATATATATATAATATATTATATATATTATATATATATATATAATATATATATATATATATATATATATTATATATATATTATATATATATATATATATATATATATATATACTGTTGTTGCCTTATACATGCAAGTGCACTAGTGTTGTGTGGCATACAATTATTCATACATGTTTTCAAAGTTAAAATTATTTTCGTATAAATTATATTATCCGCTCACTGGGCTTCTCCTAGCTCACTGTTTTATGTTTCCTCCCCCAGGATCGTAGATCGGGTTCGTGTGGAGCATACTCTACGCTCTAGGTTGGCCTTGACGCATGATGATTTGCATCTTTTACAAACTTTAGTGGACTCTGATACTATGTTTCTTTTGTAACTGGATTTCAGTTCCTGTTTTTAGAATAATTAATTGTGTATTTCCACCTTCTAAACCTTAAACATGCAAAGCACTACTTTTCACTTTCGTCTATAGACGAAATTGTTTTTATGAATGTTTTTTTTAAAAGAGTATTCACCTTCCTTTCGGGATCTTGAGTCTCCTAGAGCGCCCGGATGGTGGGATAGGGATACTCGGGAGGGGGCGTGACACCACAGATGCTGACATGGTCGGAGACATGGATACTCATAAGTCTACTTTTGGTTATCTAATTACTTTTGTTGGTGAAACTGTTTCTTGGCAATCGAGATTGCAAAAGTGTGTTGAACTTTCTAATAGAAGTTTGCAAAGAGTTGCTATCACTACAACAAATTTTTAATTTAGGGACGAAATATTTAGGGACAAATTCAGTTTCGTCCCAGAATGGTCATTTTAGGGGACGAAATTGTAATTTCATCAAAAATGCTTAGCATTCAATTTCCAACCTGCACCAACAATTGATTTCATCGGTCATATGGAGGGAAGGATTAATAATAAGGAGGGAAATCATTAGGGACAAAATTTATATTTTTTGACAAAAAATTATAGCTAAAAAACTTTTTTTTCTGGATGAAATTTTTTGTTCTCTAATGTACAAATTTGGAAAACTTATTACGAATGAAATATGATTTTGTCCTCGATTATGAAAATACATTTTTAGGGATGAAATTTAAAAAACTAATTAGAGAGGAAATTCATTAGTTCTAGGTAAATGTAAAAACACCCAGCTGCGTTTGTTTCAGTTTTGGGAATACTACTTTTAGTATCCCAAAAAGTTAAACAGTAAAATACCCAAAACTTAGATTTTGGGAATACTACTCCCAATATTATTCAACTTTTTTTAAACCCCTTAAATTTGATAATTTAATTAAATACCCCTAAATATTTTTTTTAAAATTACAAAAACACCCAATAATCCACATTTACTAGATTCCGGCCACCACCACCGGAAAATGGCCGGAATCTGGTAGGATGGCGCACTACAACTACCGGCGGAATGAAGGAAGGGGAAAACGCCAGACTAAGCCAAAGATCTAGCCGTTGACGGCCAGATCTTTGGCCGTAACAGTCGGTCACGACGGCCAACAAACGGTCGTCGTTGACCATCAACGACGACCGTTTGTTGGCCGTCGTTGAGAGCAAATACGGCCAGATCTGGCGGTTGACGGCCAGATCCACCGTGGATCTGGCCGGAAAAGGCCATATCGGCGCATGACCGGCAATATCCAGCCGGTCATGCGCCCATAAGGTGACTTCGGCTACCTCCGGTGGTGGTGGCCGACTGGGGGTGTTTGAGGGTGGGTTACGGGTATTTTTGTTAACTTTTAATGTTTTATTATAGGGGGTACTTTGTAAAAAAATAAATATATAGGATATTTTATTAATTTATAAATTCTACATCGTAATACCCACCCAATTCAACTTTTTTTTAACTTTTTTCAAAAAACTTTTCGCAAAACCCCTAAATTTTGAACCAAACGGAGCCCCAATTCTTTTTCTATTTCATTTGAAACAAAACCCAGACTTGCTTGCTAATGAATCTCGACCTCCTGCTCTGAAATTGATTGAAACCCAAGATAAAAAATTGAATTGATTGAAACCCAAGATAAAAAATTGAAAATTAAGTGCAGGTAGCGAATGAGGATTGGCTGAAAATGGCAGGAAGGCGTGGCGTTGCCAGCAATGTCGTAGGATGATTGAGCTCACTGAAGGTTGCTATCACATGACTTGCTGGTAAGATATATCTTTTTCTCCATAAATAATTGTGTTGTGTTTCATAAATTAAGTTGATTGGATGGATTTTGAAGTTCATAGGCCATATTGTACCCTTCTCGCCTTTTAAATTTTAGTTCCCATCATACATAATTATGTGGAAGCTACGATCTTCTAGTTCAGAGCAGCATTCATGGGAATTAGGGTGCTATAGGTCCTTGCATTTTGTATCAAATTGCTTTAGGATTTGGAGGTTTTAGAAATTACAAATCCAAGAATTTACAGTCCAGGAAATTTAAAATTCCTTGCTCGCTTTGTTCTTGAAATGCAATTACTTCTCTTTCTTGAAATGCAATTACTTCTCTTTCTAATTTTGTACTGAAATTGTAATATGTTAGATTCAAATATGTGTGAAATGAGAGTAATGAAAATGGAAACTACAACTGTTATGATGGCCATTGTCATGACATAAATTGTCGTGCTGGGGAAACTTTGGGTGGCATTGTTAGTAATTGTAGAGTGATGCTAGTGAGAATGACACTCATAGTGGTGGTAGGCTGGTAGCTCTGATGGCTACATTGATAGTGATGGTGGGGATGGTAACAGTCATGATGGAATTAGTTATGGTGAGGACACTGGTGGTATGTTTGTAGAGCTGCCAGCATTAAAGCTTGTGGCAGTGGTGGTAGTGATGATAATGGTAATAATTGATAGTTTGAATGGTGGTGGCCACCTTTGAGGATCCCGACATGCTCTAAACAGGCCGTCGTTTTCCTGTTTCTCTTCATTTCACTCTTTGCTTCACCTCTACAATTGAATCAAGTTTTTTATTTAGTTGCTTATTTTCCAGGGTTCTTATTTTAGCCAAACTGATTTCGTGGGATTTGCTTTCGTCTTTAATTGATTGTTTACGGAAATATTGAATTCAACTTCTTATTTTCTTTTCTCTAATTTTTCTAGGGGATTCTGAGTTTTTTTCATGGTTCTTGGGTTTTTCTTTGTTTATTAAGTTCTTGTTTAACGAAGTGGTTTTATTTTTATTGTTCAAAACTTAGGTAATTCATTTATATGTGTTATTTTTTTACAGGATTTTGAAGAATTTGTAGCTGCTAGGTAATGTATAATTTTTACTATTGAATTTATATATCTGAATTTGTAAATTTTACATTCTCATTTTTGTTAAAAATTACTGTTAGAACTCTGAAGCAAGTGTAGGAGGATGTTCATGACATACATTGTTCAAGAGAAAGGAGCAGGGCAGCATAAAAAATTATTGAGGAGATTAGCACAATGTGTACAATTTATTAGATATAAGATATGAATTTCTTGGTTTTATTGTTCATACCAGAAAGCATGATCGCTACTTGATGTTAAATTTAGTTGATGTGATTATTTTGGTAAGTGGTTATATTTTTGTTACCTTATAGTTATTAAATCATGGATAAGACTTGGATGAAGGAAAAAAAAAAGGTCGAAAAGATATGTGGAAGGAGTAAAATTATTTTTTAAATTTGTGAAGAACAACTTAGGTGGGGAATGTGAAATTAGATGTCCATGTACAGATTGTCTAATTTTGTACATCCAAAGGCAAAATGTTGTTTGCGATCACCCGCTTATTCGAGGGATAGATACCGACTACACTAGATGGATCTATCATGGCGAGCACTCTAATTTTGATATTGGTTCTCCTTCTCATACTAATGGTTGTGATGATGAGGACTATCATGGAACGCCTAATAATGAGGGAGAGGATGATGGGATCCAAGAGATGTTAAATGACTTTGAGAATTTAAGAGATCATTGTATGGGAAGTGGTCCTCGTGGCAATGTTCATAGTGAGGCAATAGGGCATTCATATACGAGTTTTGAAAAGTTGTTGAGGGAAGCTCAGCAAGAGTTGTATCCAAGTTGTTCAAATTTCACAACATTGTCATTCATAGTAAATTTGCTTCATTTGAAGGTATACAACAAATGGAGCAACAAATCATTTGAGATGTTGCTTGCTTTACTTAAACAAGTGAAACCAATTGGTGAGAAACTTCCAAAAGCTTATTACGAAGCAAAAAACATGTTGCGTGATTTGGGTTTAGGATATATCTCTATACACGCATGAAAGTATGATTGTGCGTTATTTTGGAAAGATTATGAGGATCATGAATATTGTCCTAAGTGTGGTACTTCTAGATGGAAAATAGATAATGGGAAAGGCAAGAAAATTCCTCATAAAATTTTGCGATATTTCCCCTTAAAGTCGAGGCCTCAAAGGTTGTCTATGTTAAGAAAAATAGCTATAGAAATAAGGTGGCATAAAGATGGAAGAGTAGATGATGAAATTTTGAGCTGATTCTCAGGTATGGAAAGATTTAGATAGTGATTTCCCATGGTTTGCACAAGACTCTCGAAACATACATCTTGGCCTAGCAATTGATAGATTCAATCCATTCGAAAATACGAGTAACTCTTATAGCATATGGCCAGTTATTCTCATGCCATATAACCTACCACCTTGGAGATGTATAATAGAAAAGCAAGTCTACGTATTGATGGAAATCTCACAAGTATTAATGTCAATCGCACTTGGTACGAAAATGATTCTTATGTACTAGCTTGTCAAGTGAAACAAATTTTTTATGTTCCAGACACAAAATTGGGAAAGAATTGGCAAGTAATAATTACAAACCGAGGAAATAGATGAGGAAGCATTATCTAGTTCAAATGATGAAATTTATCAAGAAAATGAGTTGGAAGAAAATGTGAATGTGGCTACGAATGGGGATGAAGAAATTGATTTATTGTTGAGAGGGGATATAAATCCAGAAATTTTGGAAGCCAATATAGTAGAAAGTAAGAAAAGAAATTTGAAAGAATATGAGTTCATTTATTATGATAGTGATGATGAAGGTGACACTTTATCATATTATATATTATAATGATGAAGAAGAAATCAATTGTTGTGATGATAATGATACAGATTCTGATACATGAATTTGGTAATGTAACTTAATGATTTTTGACATTTTGATTACATGTCTATATAGTTTATGTTATTTTGCATCTTATAATAGATTAATATGTTTTTATTATGATAGTTACTTTATCGTTGAAGATGGTTTTAGTTTTACAATGCCGCTCTAAGGCTATAGGGAAATTTGCAACTATTCCTTCTCATGCATAAACTAGCGGTACAACTGTTTCACTTAATTCAGTTGAAGATGTTCCTCAGGTTGTCTATTTGCAAGATGAACAATTTCAGCCTACTCCTCCCATTGCTCCTCCTATCACATTATCTCATTCGGAGGAGGTCACTCTTCCTACTACAAGTTTGGGCTCTCATTAAATTGCTTAAAATTTTAGTCTTCTTCTATGTTTTCATTAATAGTATAAGTCTTTTTACTACTAATGATAAATTTCATTTTTATCACAATAGATTCCACTTCAAACAAAGTGAAGCACACAAGGAAAAGGCCTAAGTAAAATGAACAAAGCCTTTGGTAAGAAGTTGAAAGTGCATGTTGATTTGGATAACGGAAGGCCAGTAAATAGAGTTTAGTAGGCTAAGTTGTCAATTCAACTAGGAGTAATTTCTCAGAAGTTTATACGTGTACCAATTAAATGGAAGGATGTGGAGGTTCATGATTTCAAGCTTGCACTAGATAACTTAGATGGAAGTGTATTCATTATTTATTATTTTTTATTGGGAACAATAATTCTATTTTCTTTTACTTGATATGATTTGAGAAATAGATTAGGTTATATGAACATTCTTTATTAGATGTACTATTCATTAATAGAGACATAGATACATATTTGGTTTATTTGATCACTGTATAGAGTCACCTAGTAGGTATTACATACAAAGAGTTTTATATGTTCTTATTATTTCAACAAGCAGCTAGCATGCATACTTGTTTTCTTTCTTTCAACTGTGACAATTGCCTATAGTAATAAAGTGTAGCCTATTATTTGTTTAGCTCCACATGGAATTTGAAGACATAGGTGATGAAGCAATACAAGAGAAGATTGAGCAATTGTTGAAGAATCGATATGGGAATGCATGGTATAAGTTGCACAACTATTTTAAGAAGTTTACAACACTTGAGGAGACACAAAGAAACAAGTCAAAAGAAAACAGTTTGACTCGAGATAATTGGAATTTTCTTTGCAAATATTGGTTTGATCCTAATGTCAAGGTATAAAATCTTATAGTTGTATTAGACCAATAATAAGGAATTTACGAGATTTACTATTTTACCGGTTTTGTCTAATGTAGGCAAAATGTGAAAAAAAATGATGTGAATCAAACAAAGCATACTATGCCACACAACCAAGGGTCTATGGCTTCTCTGGTGGTCCGCAATGAGATTGTACGTACTCTTAATAGCCTTCATTTTTAACATGGATTGTTTTTGTTGGTTTAGTACAAATATATATAAATCAAATTTGATTAGTCATATAAATTCAGTTATTTGGAATTTGAAATTGTATTGTGACCAATTTGGATGTACATGAAATCAGGAGAAGGAACTTAATGGGGAGGAATGTGATCAAATTAGCCTTTTTAAATTCACTCATTTCAAAGAAGGAAAGGGTTGGATACCCTTAGAAGTTGAGGCAAAATATGTAAGTGAAATTAATTAGTATTAAATTGATTGTAGGTAACAACGTTGTATTTGCTTACTATGATTGACATTGTTTAACCTAATTTGATGTTCATATTGAATGTCCTAAAATGCAGAATGAAATGATAGAATTGAAGGAAAAGAGTTCATTAGATGACAAACCATTAACTGCAGATGAAATTTGTGATCAAGTGCTTGGAACTCGATCAGGATATATTAAAGGACTTGGGTATGGTCCAAAGCTTAAGAAAAAAGCAGGACAAAGTCTTCAAATTAAGAGACCTGTATCTTAAAGAATCTGAAGATAGATTTAGAGAATCAGAGGAGAGAAATCTCAAATATCAAGAGAAAGTAGACGAACTAGCCTTACACTTAAAACAACAAGAAAAGATGTTTGAAATGTGGCTTGCCTCTAGAAATCATCCACCTTCTCTTTATGTCTCCCTAATGTTTTATGTTCACTTTATCTTACAAACTTTAGATAAATATATAGTTGAGTAATTGTTATAATGATTGTTGTAGACTTGTTTGACATGCATATACCTAGATGTCAAGCAGCTTCAATAATTTGCTTTTTTGCATCTTTTGACATGCAACTACTATAGGAGTGGTACCTTTTCTGACGTCCAAGTAGTGAAGAAAAAAGTATATATTTTGACATCCAACTAACAAAGAAAGTGTAGTTATTTTACACTAATGGCTGATACATTCTATTCTTTTTGTTTATATGTCAGTTAGAATTGGATGTGTTTATGATACATGTACAGATATATAATATTTTGTTATTACTTGGTTATTTGTTGATTTGTAAGAGTATCAATTTGACATTAATTAATATTTTTTACTTAGTTAAAAAGATGTTTCATATGAATTTTTTGACTTTGAGAATCAATACATTTGTTAATTTTCAATCAAGAACAAATTTTCATCATAATTCATCATAAAAGAAGTGATGAAATATTTTATCCCCAAATCTTGGCACAATCAGGGATGAAAATTTTCGTCCCCAATTCACCACACAGACAAGGACGAAAACATTTGTCCCCAATTATCAACCCAAGTAGGGACGAAATTTTTCATCCACAATTTTTTTTTTTTTTTTGGGGACGAATAGTTATTCTTTTGTGAACAAAAAATTTCATCAAAAATAAATAATCTTTAATGAAGAAACCATATCTCATCCCCAATGACGTGGCTTTGGGGACAATTTGTTTTTTCGTGGGCATTACCCTTTGGTAATGCAGCTTTGAGGACGAATTGATCTGTCGTCCTGCATTACTTTTTAGGACGAATTTTTTTTTTTTTCTGTGACAAAAATTTTCGTCAACTTTTTTAAATTTCTTGTATTGATGGATGAAGAAGTTCATGAGAGGGCTTGGTTTTAAATAACAACCATATGTTTTGTTTTGTGACAACCAAAGTGTTATTCATCTTGTTAAGAATTCTACATTCCATTCGAGATCTAAACATATTGATGTAAGGTGTCATTAAATAAGGGATACTCTTCACGATGGTCTATTTGAATTTGAGAAGATCCATACAGATGACAATGACCCGAATATGTTGACAAAGACTTTAACAAGGGAGAAGCTTGAAGTCTGTCGAGCTATTGTCGGTATGGTCCATTTCCCCACATAGTCGGGAAAGGGCGAGACTTGTTGGGCTTGGGATTCTCTCATGTGGAGGATGACCCAAAATCCTAAAAATAAAAGAGAGAAAGAAAAAATGAACAAAAAAGAAGCAGTTTGAGTTTGGTATTTTTTGGGCGGGTGAACAGTGTGAAAAAACCAGGGTATTGTTCACAGAATTAAAAATCTACAGAAGTGAGAGAGAGGCAACCACACTAGGTTTTTTTGGCGATGATCCAACGGTGAATCTTCCTCCGTTTTTGATAAAATTTCAGAGCGTTGTTGTTGACGGCAAGATCTTCACATCCAACGGTTAGTTTCGTGATAGCCATCATTTTTGTGGAGTTTTGCCTCTAGAAAGACAGTCAAATCAAAGAGTTTGAGTTATAGAATTTCAGTTTGTCTGCCCTTCTTCAGCCTGACGATCGGAAGGTCATCTCTAGTCTGATCAACCTGATTTGTGGTCATAATGTAAAAGATGTTTGGCTATTCAATCTAGATGGTTGGTTTTCGATTTTAACGGCTGAGTTTGGAGTGATACAACCTGCATTTGGGTGTTTTGCTGGTGATTTTACTTTATCTTTTCGTAACTCTTTTGTGTATTTCACTTTGTTAGAGTTGTGATAAAGCTCTAAATTTGTGTAGAATATTATTGGTGGATTGTGGCTGTTGTAAACACTTTTTATCATAGTGGATTTAAGTGGATCATTTGATCTTGTGGTTTTTTAATCTATTCACATTGAATAGGTTTTTCCATATAAAATTGTTTATGTCTCTTGTGAATTTGATTGTTGTTTTCAAACATATTTACTCAAGGTTTTGCTCCTCACAGATTCATTCAAGTATAAAATATTTTGTTAGTACATTATTTCCTTTCACAAGTTACATTGAATTGTACTAGCTGCAATGTAAAACATATTTTATTTGGTTTATAATATATCTTATAGTAATGCTACAGTTACCGAAGTAGTGCACCGAATTCATGCACAGAATGACGTGGCAAAATTCTGACTATTGATTAATTTCAACTGAATATTAATAGACGGTCAGGATTTTGCTATATCATTTGGTGCATAAAATCGGTGCACAACCTTCGATGGCTTTATCATTTCCGTATATCTTATCTACTTAAATTAAAAATTGAGGAAGTGTAGAAGTCAATTCTTTGAAATTTTGGAATGAAGCATAAAGCTAAAAATTTGGTTAAAAAACCGCTTCAACCACAAACCAGTTTGGATTCGGTTTGACTTATAGCTTGAACCGAATTTTTAGTTCGTTTTAGTCAAACCCCTAACCAGTTCGGGTACCCATTTTGAACTCCCCTACTAATTACGTCATTAATTAAAATTTGATATTGAATTTTGATGTATTATTAATACATTATTAAATGATAAGTGTCAATCAATATGTCAATTTTCAAATATTAATTGCATATTGTTACGAAACTTCTCTTTATTTTGAAGTACAGCTGGGTTGGCTGCTTGGCAAAGTCCGCAACCATCGTTACAGACTTGGAGATTTCGTCTGCTTCTGGCGGAGAATCACGTACCAACACTCGACAATATTCGACTTATCCGATTTTTAAATTTCTATAAATTCATGTGAGATGTATGAAAGTCTGTGTATATATATAAAATACGTAGCTGCTGCTCCTTGGAAAACTGTGGCTTATCAATTTGTATGTTGCATAAAGTAGGTAGCTGATTTTGCTTGGAGAACTGTAGCTTAATGGTAACTCGTGATTTCTTAATTAATAACACAATATTTGACCTATTCATGGGACGCAACATAATAATCATCGAGGTTTAAACATAGTAAGTAGATAATGACAGCAAAACTATTATACCCAAGGATGTAGCCAGGATTATGAGTCGGTGAGTTTAAAACATCAAAATTGATAAATTTACAATAAAATATATACTGAAATAATAAGCATAAAAAATGTATTTTTAAAAGTTATATATACCAAATTATCAATTTTACAATTGTCCTCGAAGATTTTTCATATTCTGAAAACGTTGCATAATTGCTTCATTGAAAATTCCATCAAATATCTCTCTCTCAATATATGTAATAAGATAATCATTTAACAATTGATCTCTCGTTCGATTCTGTAGTCGATTTTTCATAATCTTCATCGCAGAAAATACTTTTTCAACACTTGTAGTTGCAACAGGTAATATCAATGTTAATTTCATGTCTAAAAAGATAACAACAAAAATAAAACACCCTCCTTTTCTACACTATACTTCAATCAATTTGCATATTCTCTAAACCAAATGGGATTAAAACGACGCATTAAATTCTCAATTGTTCGCTTTTTAAAATTATGATTGTGTGGTTGGCAAGGTCCTTTTTATAAATATGTCTTTCTCACTTTGTCTCTATTATTAGGATGATATTTTAAAATTTTAATCCTCAATCCAAGATCTGCAGGAAGACTACCCAAGTTAAGCTTATCATATGTTTGTCTTGAATTAGATTCCATAGGCTTATTGTGAACATTATCGTGACGCCTTATATTTTGTTCAATTTATGGTTCCTCACTAGAAAACTTTCTTTTGATAAAAAACTTGTCTACAACTAAAAAAAATAAAATAATTTTTATTATTAGAAATATAATTTATTTGCAATTACAATTAAAAAACAACACAAATTTATCAAAATTCAACTCATAACTTAGGTTTTTCAAATAATTTCTACTAATCCAATAAAATTCAACTCATAAACTCATCAAATTTAACTCTAAATATCAAGCAACTAAAAAATATATCGAAATTAAACCAAATTCCCAAATCTCTACAACTTAGGGTTTCATCAATTTTTTAAACCATATTCAAAATTAACTCAATAACTAACCACAATTTATCAAACCCAACTTAAAATAGCCATTAATTAACCTATATCTTAACATAAACAAGATTAAATCAAAACACACATCAAAATCTAGGAATTTTTTCAAACTTATTTATTAAACTCAACAAAAACTTATAACTCATGATCTTTCATCAATTAAGAAAGCTAAAAAAAAAAATAATTAATTTTAAGTAAAAAAATAAAAATAAAATTAGTATCATCTTACCTTGTAATTCAAAAGAGTACCCTTTCTTGAGTATCCAACCAAAAGAAAAATATAATATGAGAGCAAAAGAGATGAAATAAAGAAAAGAGAAAAGTTTAAAAAATATTAATTAATAATTTATTTTGTTGGGTCAACACCCTAAACTTTAAACCCTAAACCCTAAACGTGAGATTAAAATTATAAAATTTATAAATTATTAATACTTTTTAAAAATTTTTAAAATATTCGGTAGGTTCAATTTAACCCACAAACTACTATGTGACTACGTGCCTATTATACCCAAAATTGAAACGACAAACTTAAAATTAAAGTAGATGCCATTTTATATTATAACAGAATCAAACGCCAACACGATAAACTAGAGTCCAATTTCTGCAAGAAGGAATACTTATCACTTACAGCAATAGATTAGTTTTGGCATAAACGCAATATCATTTATATTTAATTCATCATCTTCTACTGTTCTACATATAAGTACAATGATAAAGCTAGCTTCTATTCAGACCCAGTTCCAATGGCATTCTCTGCAAGTCATAGCAATTCACCGATCCTCCTGAAGAATCCCATTAACGATTTCAAAAATCTCGTTAAAATCCCATCTGGGCACTTGAAATTTTTTCCTAGGAATACCCAAGCCCCAGTCCATGCTACAAAATCAGCTTTGGTGCAGCCATTCACATCTGAAGAATCAAACTCCAAGTCGATAGACATGCCTTTACCCATATTCCAGTTTGAAGAATACATGACCATGAAGGCAAAACAAGTTAACAGAGCACTCGATGAGGCAGTGCCCTTGCAACTTCCGGTAAAAGTACATGAAGCTATGAGATACTCTCTTCTCGCCGGCGGCAAGCGTGTCCGCCCAGTTTTATGCATTGCCTCATGTGAATTAGTGGGAGGAGATGAATCCTCAGCTATGCCAATCGCTTGTGCGCTAGAGATGATTCATACGATGTCGTTAATTCACGATGATCTCCCGTGCATGGACAATGATGATCTTCGACGAGGAAAGCCGACAAATCACATAGTTTTTGGTGAAGATACCGCAATTCTTGCTGGTGATGCTCTCCTCACCCTTGCCTTTGAACATGTAGCGGCCAAGACGTTCAATGTTTCACCTGACCGCGTGGTTCAAGCCATTGCCGAACTAGGTTCAGCCGTTGGCTCAAAAGGGCTTGTGGCAGGGCAAATTGTGGACATTGACAGTGAAGGGAAAAATGTGAGTTTGGCCGAATTGGAATACATTCATGTGCACAAAACTGCAAAGCTTTTGGAGGCATCGGTGGTTTGCGGAGCAATAATGGGAGGAGGAAACATGATTGATATAGAAAGAGTTAGAAACTATGCAAGGTGTATAGGGTTGCTATTTCAAGTTGTGGATGATATATTGGATGTTACGAAGTCGTCTGCTGAATTGGGGAAGACGGCTGGGAAGGATTTGGTGAGCGATAAGGCTACATATCCGAAGTTGATGGGCATCGACAATGCTAAGAAACTTGCCACTGAACTGGTGGCTCAAGCCATTGAAGAGCTTGCCTATTTTGAAGATGCCAGGGCTGCCCCATTGTACCATTTAGCTAACTATATTGCTAGTCGACAAAATTAATAAGTAAAAGTTGTATTTCATGTTGTTCTCTTCTTATTTGATTTGTATGATGACAAATTAAAATTTGTATACATGTCATCGTTTGTCTGATTAGAGTTTGAACTCTGGCTCCTGAACCTGAAGTAACACAAACAATAAAATTGGTCTGGCGTTTGAAAGCATATACATTATTTATATATTGTCTGACTACCTTAAAGTTTACTTTAAACTTTAAGTTTCAAATTGATACTTGAAACTGCGGTTTAAATGAAAAATATCCATGAGATTTATTTTTAAAGTTCAAGTTTATCTATAAATTGAATTTACAAATTTCAAGTTACAAGTTACAACAATATTGTAACTCAAGGGAAAAAAAAAAACATTAAATTTTTTAAATGACCTTAAGAATAATATATATAGCGCTCAAATAATACAAGAACTAAGATCAAGATGCATGTGATGATCCAATATCATAAGAATAACCTTTATTAAAAAATATATTATATATATATAACTATTAAATGCATAGAGCACTAAATTTAGTATGTAAATAAAATGTTAAAGTAGAATAACAACAAATAGTAATAATAAAAGAAGATCATTGGAAAGGCAAGTAGTGCTTCTTATTCGATTTTCGCATGAAGAAGTCAGATTGCTGTGTTTGACAGTAGGATAATAAATAAAATAAGTACATCACTACTCTACGTATATTAAGCTTTTTTTAACGAGTATTTGTCATTAGATACAGATCTGTGGATCTAAAAACAAAAATTATTGTTTGATTGTATCACATGCAAAGCACATTACGATTGCAATGGCATCTGCTCTCCGCTAGAACGCTATAATTATAATTTTAACTATATTTTTTTGTAATTATATCTAAGTTTGATTTAATTTAATCTTTTCTGCATCATATTATTCTTATAATTAACCAATGCAAGAATTCATTATTTACATAATTTTAATCAATTAATTATATTTTAGTAACTATATAGACAATTGGTGTGCTTGGATTCGATATGACTCTTAATATCTTTTGTATTGACACTAAATCCAGAGCTTACCACTTCAACAAAATCGTATTTGGGGTTGTTAGAGTTGGTCAACTCACTTTGGTGTTAAGTTACCAATTTTTAAAGTGTATCGGAAGATTTTATCAAGTTTATTAATGACTACCAAGTTAAACATGAATCAACAACTGCAAGCGGTAAAGATAAAACACACAATCATATACATGGTTCGGCTAAAACCACTCTTAGCCTACATCCATGGGACCTCGTTCAGATCGAAGCTTATCTACTATAACAACAAACATTACAAGATATCATTCAGAGTTGATTTTAGCTACAACAAAGAGAACTCCATGTTCTACGTTACACTAAACACTACCCTCTGAATCTCTAATGTTTTGTCGCTTCTAGGATCACTCCACACTAGGAACACTCCCAGAAAACACTTGAGCTCCACCCAAGCTTCACTCGCCAAAGAACACCTCCAACTTCCATGGCTTGAACTCCTTTCAAGTTCTTAGCGTAAGAACCAAGTTCTAACAACAACAAACAATAAACAAAGATGAACAAAATGATTTAAGCATTAAACCATACATGGAACCTGTCAAGGAATAAACTCTCTGAAAATTTCAGAGCACAAACAAAAATAAAGTCCAAGTTCGAAGATGCAAGGAGGAAGAAGATGTGTTTAAATAATCCTTGCTTGACCAATCTCTTTAAGACAAGTGGCGAACAATCTCTTTCATCTTTTGTTGGGACCACAAACAAAAGCTCACAAACTTTGCAAGACCACAAGAGGAGAGGTGGACACCTATAAAGAGAAAACTCACACAAAAACCATGAAAGAGATAAAACTTGATGGGCAAGATAATATAAGAAAGACGTCACATGTGCAAAAAGAATCAGAGTACAAACAAATACAATGTCAAAGGTTGGCTTTACAAATGAGCAAGAATCATAAAGGCCAATTTTGTGCTCCCCAATTCTTGCCAATTCAGCAAACAAGACTGACATATGATGGTCCAAAAATAGAAAAGATTCCATTTATCTTTTGGGACCACAACCAAAACAAGAAAAAACTTATTTCCCTGGACCACAAAAGGATATTGGGACACCTGTAGGTGGTCCAAATGACAGCACAACAGATGGATAAAAAATATCTCAGTTGACAAAGATAAAAATGTAACTTGTGCAAAGTGAGTCAGACATGTGATGTTAGCACAAAAGAAGAGTGTGCGCACATACGACGTAAAATGCGAAATGAAATGCAACATGTATATGTCTGACTTCAGTGTGCACACACATAACATCTGTGTGCACATACAACATAAGTTTGACAAAAATATTCAACAATCTCCCCATTTGTCAAACTTATGAACAAAGAAACAAATTGATCATAAGATCAATATAAACTTGTCTCATAAAAACAGCCAATCAAATAAACCGAGACAAGAAATAAACACAAAGACAACAAAAAATATTAGCCAACACAATATGAATCAAGGCAAATATGAAACAAAAAACATCAAAGAAATTCAACAAGTAATTAGGCTAAAACAAACTCCCCCTCAGCAAAAGTTCATCAAAGTCAATCAGTTCATATGAGCCAAAACATAAACATATAAAGAGAGTTCAAAAATTGCAGCAAAAATAAACAACTTAAAAATAACATATCCAACTTCCAACTTCACTCACCCTTAATTCAACAAAGTCAATCAATTCATATGAGCTAAAACATAAACATATAAAGAGAGTTCAAAAATTGCAGCAAAAATAAACAACTTAAAAATAACAATCCAACTTCCAACTTCACTCCCCCTTAATTCAACATCCCCCCCCCCCCCCCCCCCTCTCTCTTTGTTCATAAGGTTTGAACCAAACCTCAACGGCGACTTGATCTACGAGTGGGAAGAATTCCTCAGCTTGTTTTCCTGACAGAGATAACTTCTGAAGATCCATGAAGCAAATTGAATGATAAAACTGAAGAAACAAACAAGATTAGAGCAAAGAGTTGAAAAAAAAATCAGGGGCAGCGCAAAAGGGTTTTATCGTAGACAAGAGGTGTGATAGCACAATAAAATCAAAACCTTAAAAACAAGATTCACTTAAATAAAGACTCAACTCAAATAGATGTGCTCACCGCGTGATAGTGTGGGCACACAACAAACAGACTTAGCAAAATGTGAGAGCATTCAACAAATGTGAGCACGCAAGGAGCAGACATAAAGAAAACAAGTCTTTTAAAACAAGTTGTAAGCACAACATCCCAAAGAGACATCAAAATTTCAAAAGACTGACTTTATTGAACAAATTTAAAAAAAAAAAAATGATGAAATGCTTCGCATAAATTTTTGAAGGCCAAGATAGTCAATCTGTGCAAATCATCCTAATCAATCAAAATTTTCAATCTTAAAAGGCACAAAAAATCATACGGAAGTTGTCAACATAATGCAATCAAAACAACACTTCCTCAATCACACACAAGTGAGATAAGTTTCCAAGAGCTTGTCTTAGGGTGTGATAGTGTCCTCAAAGGGGTTAAATGATACATTGGCCAATTAAAAATTTTTGCAAGAGAAATTCCCCCTTCCCTCATGCCCAACTATATTTTGTATTTTTCTTTTTTAGCATAGAAAATAAAATTTTTTCTTTCTATTTTGATTAAAGAGAAAGTAACTCTCAAACATACCCAAAATGTAGCTTTCACACTTGCAAGAAGATAGTCCTCTTAATGGTAGATTTTCCAAAATATAGGGGTCTCTACAAATCAGAAAATTATTCAAAACAACTTTCACACTTCATGCAAGGTAGCTATTTTATAATGGTGACAAGAATAGACAATCAACTCATGATGCAATAAGGTCATGTTATAGAGAGAGTCTCAGTTGATACAACATACCATAGTTAGCACACAGTTAAGAGAAAATAAATGACAATTAGATTGCTATCACAGATCAAGGAGTCATGACAAACAAAAATAAAAGTAGCATGTTCATGCTTTATTCATCAACTGAAATGAAAAACTATTCAAGTTGAAGTTGTTCAATGGACTTCCTCAAGAAAACAAAAGTATCATAGGCAAGTGCCTTTGTAAATAAATCAGCCAATTGGGATTTTGTGTTCACATGAGCAAGTGCAATAATGTTCTCCTCAACTAAATCTCTAATGAAATGATGTCTTATGTCAATGTGCTTAGTCCTAGAACGCTGGACTGGATTCTTAAAGATGTTAATGACACTCGTGTTATCAAAAAAATAGTCACACAATCTTGATCAATACCATAATCATTCAACATTTGCTTTAACCATAAAATTTGAGTGCAACAACTTCTTACGACAATGTACTCAGCCTCGACAGTGGACAAGGACATTGCATTTTGCTTCTTGCTATACCATGTGACAAGATTGTTTCCAAGATAGAAACATCTAACTGAAGTACTCTTCCTATCATCCAAACTTCCTACCCAATCCGCATCACTATATCCAACCAAACAATTGTTAGAATCAAATGAGTACCAAAGGCCAAAATCACACATACTTGAAACACATTTCATGATTCTTTTCATTGCATTCAAGTGCAACTCAGATGGATTAGTGTGAAGTCTAACACAAACACCAACACCAAAGCAAATATCAGGCCGGCTTGCAGTTAAATAAAGAAGAGTTCTAATCATGTTTCGGTACATCTTATTGTCTACCTTTTTACCATGTTCATCTTTGGACAGTTTAAAGGTAGCACTCATAGGGGTTCTAGCATTTTTTGCATTTTCAAGACAATCTTTTCAACATGTTTCTAGCATACTTTGATTGGGAAACAAACATGCCATTATTCATTTGTTTAATTTGAAGTCCAAGAAACATATTCAATTCCCTTACCATACTCATCTCAAACTCATTTTTCATTAGGCTAATGAATTCAAGTGCATGTGAATTAGATGTAAAACCAAACACAATATCGTCAACGTAAATCTATGCACACATGATTTCATTGTTAGCATGCTTGAAAAAGAGGGTTTTATCAGTATTACCTCGTTCATAATTATGCTTAAGAAGGAAAGTTGTCAACCTTTCATACCAGGCTTATGGGGCTTGTTTCAAACCATAAAGAGATTGCTTCAATCTGAATATATGATTAGGTTTGTGGGGGTCTTGAAAG